TATGTGTTTTCTACCCTATGTGGAGAGTCCTGGTGTGGCATTGCAGGATAATGTGCTGGACTGCAAGGTCAGTGGTTCAAACTCACCAGCCAGTCCTCAGAAACCCTATATAGGGTTGCTATGGGTTGGAATCAACTTGATGGCACTTGACAACAACCCTATGTTCTGTAGTCCTGGTGTGGTGCTCTAAGATAAGCACTGGACTTCTAGCCACTCCTTGAAAATCCTACACAGGGCTGCTCAGTCAGAAGCCACTGCACAGTCCTATGTGCTAAGGACTGATCATTGGTGAAGAAGAGAAAGTCCCTGCTTTTCAGTAGTCTACTAAGGTGGGATGAGAGATATCAGGTAAATATACAGAACATCATATAATATTGATAAATGTTCTTTAAAAAATAAGGTAATGGGGAGCAAAAGTGTACAATTAGAATGGTTAGAGATGGTGTAAGGTGTAGAGATAAACTACTAAAGCTTGAATTATGACGACAAACCATCTAAAACAAAACCCCTGGTGGTGTAGTAAGTTATGCACTGTGCATTGGGCTGTTGACTACAAGGCCAACAGTGTGAATCCACTAGTTGCTCGTGGGAGAGGTGGCTTTCTACTCCTGTAAAGATTTACAGCCATGAAAAAAATACATAGGGTCACTGTGAGTTGGAACTGACTAGATGGCAGTGGGCTTGGTTTCCTATGATCAGAATTCATTTGATGGCAATGGGTTTGGTTTTTTGGGTATAGGCAATAAGAATCTTGGACAGCAAGGCCAGGTCGTCGGAGAAGAATAAAAAGAAAGACATACAGGTGGCTTATTATGTGGTACCCTTACACCATTTAGGCAGATAGGATTAAAAGTACAACTGTAAAGCTATAGATCATGTCATCTGATTTGAGTTTCTAAAAAATCATTCAAACTGCTTTGTAAAGAACACATTATAATACAATCAGGATGAGGCGTACAGGGAGCTTAAAAATACTTGGATATATTCCTTGGAGGATAGTGCTATATGTGGGTGGTTGTTACCTCTAAAACCATTATATACATGTGTGTATGTACTTTTGTATTACATACTTTTTTGTATAAAATCTCAGTTTTAAAAAAGCAAATTATAGCAATATAATAGTGGTAACTGAGAAACCAATTTACAGCCCAGATATGAGGCAAAGGTAATTTGAACTAAGGTGGGAGTAGTTGTTAAGCGCCCTCAACAGGTTTCCAAGGAGCAGCTGGAGGTTTTGAAGTGCTGACCTAGTAGTTCACAGTACAGTTCTGATCCAGCACCACACCAGAAGTCCAAGGTGGAAGTAGCAGAGGTGAAGTTATGGAATTTAGAATACACTTTAGCAGTATAGTCAATGTTGTTGTTGTTAGGTGCCATCGAGTTGGTACCTTATACACAGCAGAACGAAACACTGCCTGATCCTTGGCCAACCTCACTATTGTTGCCACACCTGAGTCCATCGATGCTGCTACTTGGCCAATCCATCTCCTTGGGGGTCTTCCTCTTTTTCTCTGACATTCCAC